CGGGAGCGCCACCGCGCTTCCCAAGCGGCGCACTATCCAGTGCGCCACTGGGCCGGCCCCTCATACACCACTTTTAATAATGGATAATAAAACCAGACAGAGTATCAATAAGGAAACAGGACTTGAACAACACCATAAACCAATTGGAGCTTACAGATGTATACAGAACACTCCACCCAACAACAGCAGAATACACATTTTTCTTAAGTGCGCATGGAAGTTTCTGCACAATGAACCATATGTTATGCCACAAAACAAATCTCAGTAAATTTTAAAAGTCTGAAATCATACAAAGCATCTCTGATTATAATTGAGTGAACTAGACAGCAATAGCAGGAGAACTGGAAAAATTCACAAATATGTGGAAATTAAACAAGCAATGGGTCATGGAAAAAAAAATCATAAAGGTGGAAATGCCTTCTCTAGGCTCCCTGGCCTGGGTCCTTGCGGGTACTTGGAAAAATTTACAGTGGTTCTAGTGAACCACCACTGCCATTCCCAGGCCTTCCGGGCAGGCGCATACAGTTTTGTCCCCTAGGTGACTTAGAATACTTTCCAGAGACTCAGGTGGGTTAAGATGCTATCGCTGAGCCTCCCCTGCTGAAATGGGCCTCTCCTGGACTCCAGAGGGAGACTTAGACAATTTCCAATGCTCATCATGTAAACAGCACCTGGGAGATCTCAGGTGTCTGTCTGAGAGTGGCTGTGTGTTTGAAGGTATTTTGGGGAAACCCTCCATCGTCATTAGTAAATCAGACATAGATAGGGAAACTATTCAATATTTTAAAACACTACCAAAAATGATAATATAGGTGATTAACAACTCTAATGATAATGATAATGCTCTTTGTGATGATAATGACAATAAGACTAAGGAGATGGGAGAAGACTATATGCTTCCATGAATGAATGACCCAGTGCCCATATCTGGATTCGTGGGGTGGTTGGCAGTCAGAGTCCTAGGTTTGCACCATGAAATCTGTTGTGAGAAGGAAAAGGACGTTAAGAGGGAAAAGAAAACCACCCAAAGGATATGGTCACATGTGGGACACTGGGAAATGAGCCCTCTGGGTGTGGAAAAAGAGGCCCGGATGCAGATTGCCCACTGGCCCACACCCACCTAGGCTTGGGCATCTGGGTGGTACGGTGGCCTCCCTGGAAGGAAACCTGGACTCTGTACTCACCACCCCTTGGTCTTCTAAAGTCCTTCCTTGGTCTTCTTAATTCCTTCAGTAGCCATCTCTCAGCCCTGACCACCTTTCTGTTCTTCCTGCCCTCTGCTCTACCTGGCCACCTCTAGTTTTGCACATCTGGGTTCCTGCTTCCCTGCCCCAGGCTGTGGGTGGGACCAGCTCAGTCCCTGGTTCCGT